ACCCATCATATTAGGTAAACCTTTCCTAGCCACTAGTATATGATGATTTGTAGAAGGAAGAGTTGACTATGAGAGTTATGATCATGAGGTTACTTTTAATGTTTTAAAAGCTATGAAATTTCCCTCTGATTATGAATATGATGATTGATTATGCAGCCACCAATTTCAGGAGTATCGTAGAATTAAACCTTTGGAGCAGAATTAGATCGAGCATAATATCACTGACTTTAATGAATATGATCCTTTAATTCTTGCTTTTCACTCGAGTCCTCTTTGTTTTTTATTTCCTTCTATCTTTTGCTCAATCCCATATTATTTTTTTCCTCTTTTATTTCTTAGATCTCACTCCATCTTTTACAACAACAAAATTAGAAGGATCTCTCATACTATCACATAGCTTAGTCCAACCTTATCTCTCCATCTTCGATGCTCCATATCGCGGGTTCAACCCTCCTCTGGTTCATTTTATCCACTCTTTCTTCCTCAATTTTCAAATATGTATATTATTTCTGTAATTAATTTTTTTTTATGAATTTTTAATGAACCCAAATAGAACTAGTGAATATGAAAAATTAGCTTTGCTACATATTGCCCACCATATCATAGCACCTTGCACACTAGCTGTTTGTTTTCTTTTTGCACCAATAGTTGCTGGATAGAAAAGTATGGCATAGAGATTGCATTTGAGGGTGTGATTTAGTTTGACGATGCTTAGTGGTTTAAGAAAAAAAATTTAATTTACGCAAATTCTTCTACTAAAATTTTCCTATCAATATTTTTTAAGTTTATTCCAAGTTGTATTGTATAAAAGACTATAAATTAAGTTACATTTAATGGGTTCTGGCTCCAACTTAGCTATGAGAGGCTTATAAGAATGCATTGATGAGTAATAATATTGCGATTATGCCTTTTTTCTCATTCTGAATGAAATTTGTATTATCCTTATTCTTTTGTTAATGTGTTTTTCATGTTATGATTTAAGTCATTTGTTTTATTATAATGTTGGTTAATAATGTTATATTTTCAAAGATGAGCTCAGGTCAATCTTCAGTATCAAAGTACATCTAGGGGAATCATCAAATAACTTGTCAATGCAATTTAAGATGCATCCTATTCACATGTTATAAAGGAAAGAACTCTAAGAAATGTTTTAAGATGTCTTCGTAACTGAAAAAAAGGAGGATTATGATTACTTTGTTTTGTTGGATGATGTTGATGACACAATATCTAAAAAAGTGAATACATAATGTCCTTTTGAGAAGAGCAATAAAAAGAAAATTGAGACTATTTCAATGCAGAAAAAAAAATTGTAATAGCTTTGGGCTTTATTGTAATTGTTATGATTTTTTTTCTTATGAAGATGGTTTTGTAAGTAATGATCCTGTGATGATAATGCTCTTTCTTTTGTATTGTCAATATACCTACCTTATTATCAATAGATTTTGCTCGAATATCTATAAAAAAAATGTGTATTTGCATGTTATCTATTGAATAGATCAAAGTTCTTAAAGATGTCACACAAAGTCACTATCAAATATATCAAAAAAAAATTATGTTCCATGAATTTGATTCAATTACAAAGGATGGAAACCTAGCTCAATGCAGTAAGAAATGTCAAGACAAAAGTAGAGAGCATAAATGTTGGAATCAAACACATGCCTCACTTATATTAAATCTAAATGATTGATATCCTAAATATAGATCTTAAATAATCAAGCCAAAAATATTGGCATGTACTAGTCAAAAAGTAATGCTTGTATAATGAAACTCTTTCAATTTATTTTCAATGTACCAGGTGAGCAAGCAAAAAGATGTTTCTTAACTTCTGATATACATTACCTTTGAAAACATGTATTTATATAGCCAAAATTATATGGAAGATTATTGATTATTCTAAATCATAAGCATTGCTTATAACAGTGCCACATTATACTTGTATCTTCTGATCTACCCAAATAGATATAACACCCGAGCATGAATGTGTCCCATATAATTTTCTAACGACAAAAGTGTAACCATCCACACAACATAATATTTGCATTCTCCTTAAGCAATCTTGGTCTAAGTAGCTATTACACGGCTCCAGTCACTTGCATTGATCTTAACAACAAAATTAGTTTAAAAATTGTGGTTTGAATGGCTTGCTTGAAACTCAAGGGATTGTGGAAGTGTGCACTGGTTGCTTTTGTTTCCATCATTTTCACTCATTAAAAACTCACTATTGGATGTTAAAGGTTCAAAGCTGTTAGCATCAATATTGTTGGGATTTGAATGACAATGCCCTAATACGTCACTATCACCCATAACCACCACATTCTAAACGCACATCACTATCTTTGTCTATTTGTCTATTTATATTATGACAACTATCTCAACTCTATTATCACCAAGATGCTCAATTATTTTCATAACCTCAACATTGCTTCTAATAAGCATGCATTATTTTCATAATGATTAGGAAAAAAAAAGGCGGAAGAGATTCAAACCCATGTCTTCTTAACCAAGGATAAACACCCTCAATTTCTTCCTTGAGCACAAGAATTTTAATTTAAGTTTTTGCTAAAGCTTAATAGTTCTAGGTTTCCTGCCTTCGTCTCTTATTTTATTTGTGTTCAATTCAATTTAATATCCACTAAACTTGTATGTAACAAGAAGCTATTCACTCGTATCCACGAATCCATTGCGACCTATGTAAACAACAAGAAATGAAGGGATTCAAGAGAACAATTTCTTCCTTCATATTTAAAATTCCATAAATATTTTTAAAATATCTAAAAGTAATGATTTCATATTGACATCAAAACAAATAGAAGTATAAATTTAACAAAAGCAATTTTTACTCTAATATATTGACATTAACTTTTTTTTTTTTTTTTTTTACCAATTAAGCTAATTAAAACCTTGGAAATTTTTGCTACCTCTCAATTGCAATAAAATTATCATTAGATATAAAGGCCATGGAGGGATAGTTAATAATCATTTTCCTTTTAATTAACTTCAATTCAAATCCTAACAAATTAAAACAAAAATATAAAAATAAATTAAAAGGGCATTTATATACATAACACCTTACATATCAAACACCTAAACTTTATTTTTCTGTACATTTATATCACCAAAATCATTCATATCACACATAAAAATAAAAATAAAAATAAAAAAATTAAAAAAACCACTATCAAATATATCAAAAAAATTTTATCATGTTTCATGAATTTGATTTAATTACAAAGGATGGAAACATAGCTCAATGCAGTAAGAAATGTCAAGACAAACGTAGAGAGCATAAATGTTGGAATCAAACTCATGCCTCACTTATATTAAATCTAAATGATTGATATCCTAAATATAGATCTTAAATAATCAAGCCAAAAATATTGGCATGTACTAGTCAAAAAGTAATGCTTGTATAATGAAACTCTTTCAATTTATTTTCAATGTACTAGGTGAGCAAGCAAAAAGATGTTTCTTAACTTCTGATATACATTACCTTTGAAAACATGTATTTATATAGCCAAAATTATATGGAAGATTATTGATTATTCTAAATCATAAGCATTGCTTATAACAGTGCCACATTATACTTGTATCTTCTGATCTACCCAAATAGATATAACACCCGAGCATGAATGTGTCCCATATAATTTTCTAACGACAAAAGTGTAACCATCTACACAACATAATATTTGTATTCTCCTTAAGCAATCTTGGTCTAAGTAGCTATTACACGGCTCCAGTCACTTGCATTGATCTTAACAACAAAATTAGTTTAAAAATTGTGGTTTGAATGGCTTGCTTGAAACTCAAGGGATTGTGGAAGTGTGCACTGGTTGCTTTTGTTTCCATCATTTTCACTCATTAAAAACTCACTATTGGATGTTAAAGGTTCAAAGCTGTTAGTATCAATATTGTTGGGATTTGAATGACAATGCTCTAATACGTCACTATCACCCATAACCACCACACATTCTAAACGCACATCACTATCTTTGTCTATTTGTCTATTTATATTATGACAACTATCTCAACTCTATTATTACCAAGATGCTCAATTATTTTCATAACCTCAACATTGCTTCTAATAAGCATGCATTATTTTGATAATGATTAGGAAAAAAAAAAGGTGGAAGAGATTCAAACCCATGTCTTCTTAACCAAGGATAAACACCCTCAATTTCTTCCTTGAGCACAAGAATTTTAATTTAAGTTTTTGCTAAAGCTTAATAGTTCTAGGTTTCCTGCCTTCGTCTCTTATTTTATTTATGTTCAATTCGATTTAATATCCACTAAACTTGTATGTAACAAGAAGCTATTCACTCGTATCCACGAATCCATTGCGACCTATGTAAACAACAAGAAATGAAGGGATTCAAGAGAACAATTTCTTCCTTCATATTTAAAATTCCATAAATATTTTTAAAATATCTAAAAGTAATGATTTCATATTGACATCAAAACAAATAGAAGTATAAATTTAACAAAAGCAATTTTTACTCTAATATATTGTCATTAACTTTTTTTTTTTTTTTTTACCAATTAAGCTAATTAAAACCTTGGAAATTTTTGCTACCTCTCAATTGCAATAAAATTATCATTAGATATAAAGGCCATGGAGGGATAGTTAATAATCATTTTCCTTTTAATTAACTTCAATTCAAATCCTAACAAATTAAAACAAAAATATAAAAATAAATTAAAAGGGCATTTATATACATAACACCTTACATATCAAACACATAAACTTTATTTTTTTGTACATTTATACCACCTAAATCATTCATATCACACAAAAAAAAAAAAAAAAAAAAGTTTTTGAACTTTTAAAAGTGAAATACACCTTTCAATAAATAAATAAGGTGGAAACCTTCAACATCGAAATCATTTGACCAATATAACTATTTAACCAAAAATTCACATAAAACAAACCCTTTTTAATGTTTTTGATTGCTTCAATACAAACCAATCTAGCAAGATAAAATAAAAATTAATTTCTAATTAGAAGCAATATTTGTCACCTAAATCAATTTAATGTTAAACATAAGTTGAATAAGAACTAAATCTAACTCATAACAAGACTAGATTCATTTTAACCCCAGTTTGATTCCAGCTGGAAAAAAAAAACCCACTCAGATTCCACCAATCTTGAAGCCATATTCTCAACTCTATTCACAAAGATACCTGATTAGCTGATTGTATGTAGTGTGTCATATAATATGATATTCACCAGTCACATGTACTATAAAACTGATCAAATTCATCAGAACATGTACAGCATCAACATCATGACACCACTATACAAGGGAAACATTTCAATAACATTTTCAAAATATTCTTGGCATTTTCAGCGCAAAGCTTTCTGGTTTTTTTTTACTTCCCTCAAAGCAGAACTACAGTTCTAATTTGGTAATTTCTGAGACTTGGATGGCCTAAAACTAGGCTATAGTGCAAGATCCTGGAAAGCATAACTCTTGCTGTTGTTAGATTAAGGAGTTATGAGTTACAAGAAAAAAGAAGGCTCAACTGAATCATGAATATATACATACAGTAGGAGAAAATGGAGGAGTACCTTAACAGGAGGGCCAGTATATCTACCAGAGCGCATGTAAAAATTGTCAGGGGCTTCCATAGCCTCAAGCCAACAATAGTCCTCTTCCCTCTCATCCATCCCAAGTTCCTTTACATTAGCTGAAACCAAACTCTTGTTACAAAAACATTTTCCAAATGGGAAAAAAAGTGCAATATCAAACCTATCACTTTAATGGTCAAATTCATTTTTAAAAAAACAAATTAAGATGGATAATCACAAGTTCATGAATGTAAGAAGTACGTTAACTAACTAAAATCTTAGCATGCCAAGAATGTTTGTTGCTTGGAAATTCTGGGAAGAATAATGAACATAAACAGAGATATTTCTCAAAGCAAATTTTACTGGAGACACTGAGAATGTTTACATACAGAAAGTTGAGTATGGATAATCATGATAATAAGTACAGCGCCTGCCAGCAACCTCTGAATATGGTGGAGCAAGAACATCAAGCACAGCAACGGAAGTGATTGCAGTGAAACAGTGCAAGTTTCCCCCTGTTTTTGGGTATAGAACCCTGGTAGGACATGGAGCAGACAAGACCGTATCTGCCTGATACTTTGCCAACTTCACTGTCATAGGTAGCCACACGGTTAAAGAACCACATAACTGGAAGAAAAGAAAGCTTGCAACTAAATAAAACTAAAATAGATAATGTGAAAATTATTTGCATCAATATTCCAATTTTATATGAGGATCATATTAGTAATTCATTGTTCATATAAATCTGTGCAGGGAGGGACAGGAAGTGATAGAAAAAATCACTATGAAATTATGCTAAAAGTGTTTATGCCATGTGAACATAATTTTCAAACAGTTAAATTGGCTTGTGTAAGTTATGTAGCTTCTAAAATCACTGACTAGTGTTTGGTGATGCTTAATGGAAAACATTATAAGTCAAATGACGATGTGAAATCAATTAGGTCATTCTCTTGATAGGAGGGGGAATCGGGTGATAAGTATTAGGCATCAGACACCAAAGATTGATGGGCATCAGACATCAGTCATTGAAAAGTGTGAGTGGTGGTTGAGAAGAATACTAGATGTGGAGTGAAAGTAAGCAGTTAGCTTGCCATTCTTCCAATAGAAGGAAAGGCCTGACAACCGAGAAGATGAGTGTCATACATCAATCGTTGAAATTCAATAGACAGTACTTGATGGACATGTTTGCAGTTAGGCAACAATGGGTAGTTGGCTAAGTCATTATTCTAATAATGGCACCAAAAAGATGGGCATTAGACTTCGATGGTTGACGGATTCTTGACATTTGTTGTTAGCAAGCGTTACGAGATTTTGATAGGAATGTTAGAAGTTGGTAATGGTGAAAGTCAGCTTGGTCGAGCACATGATCGAAAAAAAAAACATGAAGGCCATGTTGATGGAAGTACGACATAATCATTAGAATGTGTTAAATAATGGTTGATGAGAAAAATCAAAACTTGGACAATAATGAGAGGTCACCTTGATCATTTTTGTAGTAAGAGGGAAGACTTTGCAACCAAAAAGAGAGGCTTTGGATCGAAGGCAATAGTCATCGACAAATGTTGGGTGTTGATTGACTGTTTCAAACATTTGAGTGATGATCGGTGGTCAATAGAATGTTCTCTTGATATGGGTATTGAATGTTGCTAGGTGTCAAATAGTAGGCAATAACCGCTAGCAAGCATCAGATGACATTTAATGGGGAACATAAAAAATTGGACAATGTAGAAATCAACTTGGTCATTCTCATGATAGTAAGGGAAACCAAGCAGTTGAGAAGAAAAGCATTGGAGATCGATTGTTGATAGACATTGGGCATATTATTAGCAAATATTGAGAGATAGTGGGCAAATGGCTTAGTAGTTCTCATGATAAAAGGACAAACAGAGTAGCCAGAAAAATGGGTGTCTAATGTTAGTGGGTAGCAAATATTAGATATAAGTCATCAGTAGGTGTCAGAGGCAGTTGATGGAAAACATAATAAGTTGGGAAAAAGTAGGCATTCAATTTGGTCATTATAATAAGAGAGGAAACATAGTGATTAAAAAAATAGTCGTTGAAGGGCGAGCAACAATGACTATTAATAACAGTTAATGGTGGGCAATAGTGAGCTATCATGATCACGCAATGACAATTGTGAAATGTGAATGGTGAAAAAAAAACATTGGCGTAAGTTTATAATAATCACGGCTTATTAGTAAAATTAAATAAAATTTTAATTTCTATCACTAACAATTTATAATCCAAATAAATTAAAAAAATTACTAATGAAAGCAGTTTAATTTAACTTAAAGATGAAACCAAATGTGAAAAAAAATCAAAATTCTCTAGTTAAATTGCATCTTCTATAAATAGTTGCTTTCTTCAGTCTTTAATTTTCTAGTCCAATGTTTAACCTGAAAAATGTTAGTTTGCGATAATGAGTTATCAACAACCCAATGAACATTCATATCTCTAAATTACAATAATATAATAGAAAAGAAAACAGGTATGTTAGCCAAACATAATGAATCAATATAAAATAGTTGAAAATTTATCATTCAATTATGACTGTTTAGGAAGATTGGGAATATTATGCCAAACAAAATAATATTCATTGGAGCATCATCCAAATATAACTTAGCACACGCCTAGTTGATAACTATCCCATCGACACTGAGGCATAGAATGCCTACTATTGTTTGAGATGGAAAATCACTAACTGACCGTTGGCAAATACATTCCCCATCAGCACAGTTGGGTGTCATCTTATTTCCATTACTATCTAAGGTAGTAGGCAAAACGTCAACATGTATGGGCATATTGGCATCCCCAACTAATAACACAAATTATGAACTTAATCAACAAACATGCACATGTAGATATACTACATAAATCATTTCAGTCACATTTCATGTTGTACAATCTAATTATATAATAACCCATACATAAATGAATACAATATAAAAATGCTAAGAGATTCTACGTCATTTCATTTAAATATGAAAAAGTCAACTAACAGAATAGATAAATCATAATTTAATATGCAATAAGATTTGATAGAATAAATAACAAAATCAACTTATGTGTTTGGTTTAGAAGAAAACAATGTTACTATAGTATTTTAGAAATATGAGCACTCACCGAATATCAAGACAGCAGACCACAAACAATCCAAAGACTGGGACAATCCATAAATTTTTAAGAAGGCAATCAACCTAGCAGAACTCATTTTTTGAGAAGTCTTCAGTGTCAACAAATGGTGAAACTTCGAAGCGCAGAGCTGAGTAATCAGTAAGAACCTGAATTTTTGCAATTACTCCCCGAGAAGCTAAAGAATATGAAAATGTGATTATAGTTACGCTCCTAATTCAAGATCATCTGACACTGTTCTATTTGATTCAGCTGCATCACATTCTTTTATTTCTAATGAGTTTGTTGCCGTTTTACATGTTGAAATTATGCATTTTTTGCCTCTCCTTGTGTTACTATGCCCTCGGGATGTTGGTTTTATGCAAATAGAAAATGTGTAGTGCATGCTCATATTCATGATAAAAAGTTGCCAGCAAAGTTGATTATTATATCATTCCAGACCTTTGATGTCATTTTGGGGATGAATTGGTTAGTAAATCATTATGTACAATTGAATGCTAGAAAAAACGGGTGAAATTAAAATCGTCTGGTGAAAAACCTTTTTATATATTATGTGATCGAAATGCACAATCTTCCCTGATTAATGCGGTGAAAGTTGGGAATATTTTTATATATTATGTGATCGAAATGCACAATCTTCTCTGATTAATGAATCTTCCCTGATTAATGCGGTGAAAGTTGGGAATATTTGCGAGGTGGCAAACTAGTATTTTTGGCAAAACTAAAACTGTTAAATAAAGATGTACAAGAAGTGAAAAACATCCCAACGGTTACAGAATTTTACGATGTATTTCCTGAAGAATTACCAGGGCTATCGCCAGAACGAGAAGTTGAATTTAGTATTGATGTGCAACCAAAAAACGTCTGCAATATTTAAATCTCCTTGCAGAATGGTTCCGAAAGAATTGCAAGAATTGAAAGGTTAGTTGCAGGAATTAATCGATAAGGGTTTTATCAGGCCAAGTAATTTACCGTAGAGTTTTCCAGTATTATTCGTCAAGAATAAGGATAGATCCATGCGGTTATGTGTTGATTACAAAGAATTGAACAAGGTGACAATCAAGAACAATTATTCTTTGCCTAGGATTGATGATTTATTTTATCAATGAGAGAGTGCAACTGTAATTGATTTGAGAACGGGATATCATCAAGTGAGAGTCAAAGAGGAGACATGACAAAGACAGCTTTTGGGACCATATATGGTCATCAGGAATTCTTAGTTATGTCTTTTGGTTTAACCAATGCTCCTGCAATTTTTATGGACCCGATGAATCGAATTTTCAAGTCAAAGCTAGAACCTCGACTCTAAGGAGGAGAAGAAAAGACCTCACAAAAATGAGGTCAACAAAGTCATATGTGGATCAGTTCGTCGTTATATTTATTGATGATATTTTGATTTATTCAAGAACTGCAAAAGATCATGCCAACATTTGACGATATTTTTAAAGGTGCTGAGGTAGAATCAGTTATATGCAAAATTTTTGAAATGTGAATTTTGGCTGCGAAGTATTACATTTTGGGACACATTATCAGTGGTCAGGGAATTTCAGTAGATCCTCAAAATGTAAAAGCAATTGTGGAATGACATGCACCATAGAATGTTATGAAGGTACGTGTTTCCTTGGTTTGGCAAGGACATTACGGCAAGCTCGTTAAAGGTTTTTCACAAATAGTTATGTCGTTATCCAAGCTGATGAGAAAAGACGTTCAGTTTGAGTAGAATGCACAATGTGAGCACGATTTTTAAGAGTTGAAGAAATATTTAACTATTGCACCAGTGTTAGCTCTTCCATTAGGCACAAAATGATTCAAAATTTACAGTGATGCGCCCTTAAGAGGATTGAGTTGTGTTTTACTGCGGAATAAAAAGAAGCTAGCTTATGCATCCAGATAGTTGAAGCCACATGTAAGGAATTATTCGACATGACCTGGAGTTAGCTGATGTGATTATTTCTTTCAAAATTTGACGACAATATTTATATCGTGTGACATGCTAAGTCTTTACTGATCATCAAAGTCTGAAATACATTTTCACAGAAAAAAGAGTTGAATTTGAGGCAGCAAAGATGGTTAGAGTTGATCAAAGATTACAATCTGGATATACAGTATTGTCTGGACCAAACAAATGTTGTTGTTGATGCAATGAGCCGTAAATCCACAGGTAGTGCAAGCTATATTCTTACTCATAGGCCGGAGTTGCTTAAAGAAATTAATGTTGTACAGCTGAAAATTACAAGATCAGGTCATATGGGTTATTTACATCAACTGATAGTACAACCTACTTTGTCAGATAAAATCAAGGCAGCTCAGAAAGTTAACAACGAATATTCGAAACTCCTAAAGTAATGTCAATCAAGAATGATGACTGATGTGATTGTTGATGAAGATGACATTATCAAAAATAAACTACAGATATGTGTACCTGCTTATTTTATTTTGAGACGAAAAATTTTAAATG